AATTATTAATTTGAATTTGTATTTGATTTGATTTTCAAATCGAATATTCAAATATCAAATCGAATTGCGGAACCCTAGTAAGAATTATATATTAAACTTACTTACAAAATTAACCATTATTTTTTATTAATCTATAAATAAAATTATTTAATAAATTATTTTATTAATTTTTAATAATTATTAAATTTTTTATTTTTCTTTTAATTTATAAATTAAGGTTTTTTAATAATTATTTTTGCAATTTTTTAGTAATTATATAATATTATAAGACTAAAATCTATGCTATCCTATAATAAATTATTGGATTTGATAAAATTTATTTAGTAATATATAATAAAATTAAAGATCTTTATCCTACATAAATATTTATCAAAATCTAACCATAATTTTTAATCAATTATAATTTTTATATATTAAAATAAAAAATAAAAAAATTTAAAGCATAAAAAAATTATTTATTACAAAGTATAAGTAATAGTATTTCTATATGTTTTTTTCATTTTACATATAAAATTATTCTATCTATTACTTTAAAATTAGATATTTTTGCATTTTTAAAATTGAATACTTCTGATTATATTTTTAAAAATTATAATTCAAATTAAATATTTATGCAGCTTAAAAATCTTTAATTTAACTATATAAGAAGAGCTGATAATTTATTGTATAGCAGTATATTTATCTCTGATAATAATTATATGAAAGGTTTGCTAGGAAAATGGAACTCTGAAAATTTTTTAATTTTTATTGCAAATATTATCAAAAATTAAAATGCAATAAAAATTAAAAAATTCACAGAGTCCCATTTCCTAGCAAACCTCCTATATGGGATCTTTGCAATAGAAAGGAGGGAAACTGCCGGAAAAAATCAATTTTACTTTAAATGTCAAATATGATTTTTAGGCTGAAATATATTCAAATTTAGCATTAACTCATTTTTTAATTTTCCGGCAGTTTCCCCCCTTTCTATTGCAAAGGCCCTATATGTTAAATTTTAGTATATACAATCAGACTTGTCTATAAACATCTCTTTTGGTCACATAATAAACATATGCTTATAATAAGGTGTTATGATAAAAATGAAAACATGATTGGCGAAATGACAAATTGTAATAATATGAAGTTCATAAAACCTTCCTTCTTAACTTTGGGCTTACTAATTTATTTCCCAGGCTCTGATTGGCTGGTATAATTGAGATTAGTTAGGGTTAGGGTTAGGGCTTAGGTGATTTATCACCGGCGTGACACCGATAGTGTTTCAATTTTTATTAAGTATCTGGGGGACAGAGAATTTTTTTAGGTGTTGATGTTTACTTGTCGCCCTCTCAATACGTGACATAGTTAAATATACCAGCCAATCAGAGCCTGGGGGGTAAATTAGTGAAATCCTTAACTTTAACTATACTATTTGATTACTTCTAAGAAGTTTTGTTCTAGAAGTAGCAATGCAGTTAATTAGGAAACATTATACTTGAAAAAGTACGTAAAATTTTTGATTGATAGGTTTTTTATTATTTTGCCCGAAATATAAAGGATATTACAGTATTAATATTGTATTTACCTCAGCGATATTGTCATGTATGACAAACTTCTATTGAAGAAGACCTCCATGGTTTTTTGCGATTCCACAAGATTCAGTTAATAAACTTTCTGTCTTACCGACTACAAACATGGCAGGATTAAAATTCACTTTAAACAAAATTGATAAATGACATATCGATTAAGTATCAATAAGACGAAAAGTAGTATAATTGATGTTGAGTATGACTTTCATACTTAATTGCTATGAGTTAACGTTAATGTTGGTAGGCTAGGTTAGGTTAGTATAAAAAAATATACTCAAATTCTAATTCTCAGTTTAAAGTATACATAAAAAATCGGAACCTTACTATACTAGTTTGTGTAATACCCATATTATTTGACACCGGCAGTGAATAATTTTAAATTTATTTCATTTTTCTAATATGCACTCAAACACATTTATTGCAAGCGAAGGCTTACTGTTATTTTATTCTTTATCATCATATCTTATTAAATAGCTATTTTAAGTATGCTTATTAACACATATGTTGAAATCTAACATCAAATTGCTTTAGATAATAAAGAAATTCGCCAAGAATTGAAAAAGTAAACCTAAGAAAAGCTAAACCAGCAATTAGTACAAATCTTGCCATTTCTCAATATACTCATATACAATTCCATTTCTATAAGATCTTTCCCTTTAATTGAGCGTTTTGGCACTTCTTTAGGAGAATCCCCAAGAGGCCATAACATATCCCACAAAAAATCACGATCGTAACAATCAAAAAGATCATTCCATTGTTGTCTCACTATATGATCAAAGCAACTCGTATTATGTAATAAGTTCGTTCTTGCGGATCACTACCAAGAACTTTATAATTTATAGTGGTTTTAATGCGAGTTTCATCTTCAAATTTATCAACTAAAATGAGTGTTCCGTCGCAACCTATGAAAATACACCTTTTGCTTCACATTCTGGTATTTGTAACATGGCTATTTGATGTTCAATACTTTCTGGGTAGGGCGAGATACGCGTGTACAAAACGACACGTTTTTTTGTGCATTCTTTCAATTGTTCTTTGTAACGTCTGCAGGTTCTTTATCTTTGACACCGCAGACTGTTTGTTCATTGTACTTGACCTTTTCCTTCGTTTTTTTTTCGAGCGTGTGATGTTCACTGTTGATAGACGCAGAAGATTCAGGAAGTCCCAAATCGAAATGATCAAAATCAGTTGAAAGTTGTCCTTTCCCGTATGACCGAAAGATGTAATTATTCGCTGGGTTCTACATAAGATATGATTTGTTGAAATATGCTCGAGCGTTTTTTTCTGTACAATCTCTCTTCCTTACCTGAAGGGCTCCACAAATTACATTATCAGCTCGCTCATTTTTTTTTAAAAAAAATTTATCCCAACTATAGTTATAATTTTTAAAGCATTTGGGAATTACAATGTATATTTCACTTATCCAAATTAATTAAATGTGTGACCAAATTTTGCCGATCCGGCATAGGTTTATTGTTTGTCTATCAACTGACCTACCATTCTTTTTTTTTCTATATATGTTGCCGAAAAGAACAAAAGTTTCGTTTACGTGTCAACCTTTTATATAATATGATCGATGGCCGAGAACAGACAACCTTCTCTTGATCCGGAAAGGCAACTAATCATCAATTCGCTATTCTCTGATGGCATTGAAGATCCAACATCACCAAGTACAATAGTTTTTTCGCAAAGATGTTTGGAGTAAATTTATATATTAATGACCTTATATTTTTATTAGCTCACGGTTCGGGTACCGAATCCTTGATAACATACTGTAAAGTCTCGGAGGATGGTGGCGGTGGAGGAAATTCACCCACCGCTGATCGTTCTTTCGGGATTGGTAAAATGAATTCTAAAATAGACGTAAAAATTCGTTATTTATTAGTAACAAGTGAGGTTTGATTTTAAGTAAATTACCAAATAAACTAGGATGTTATATTTCATCCAATTGATTATACTGAATTGATTCGCTTTTATTTTTTTTTTTTTAATTTTTTTTTTTTTTCTCATTACATAGTTGTCTGTAAAAACGGTAAAGTTCAAAAAGTCCAACTTCATAAAGCAAAAAAAAATCCAAATGACACTTTTTCCATTGGAAGGACATGGCAATTGGATCAAGTCCGAAAAATCGAATCAGTTGATGTAGGGCTTTAACACAATATTTTCAAAAAAAAAAAAAAAAAAAAAAATTACCAACTACATAAATAATTAATTATTATGATTTATGTTTGCGTAGAATATCACCTTTGTGATAACAATATCTAAACCTTATAGTTGGACAACTGATTCACAAGGGGAAAAGAAAGTTTTTTTGAGTCAGCTTTTAAAGGTTCGTTAAAGAACTGGTTATTTAATATTTTACATTTGAGAAAGAAACTTATTTATTGACGCGTCAGTTTTGTTTTAGACGTTTAAAAAACACACCAAAAAGTTGCCTAAACTTATAAACTTTGATAGCGAAGCACTTGCGGGTATGAGACTATTTATTTCAGATTTTATATTCAATTTCAATCTCATTTTTACGTTTAATCAATATATTTTAGAAATAAAATCAACTTCAACTCTTATCAAGCCAGTTGTACAAAATGACTCTGATAGTTATAGTGTAGCGGCTTCATTACAAGAACGACTTGCAAGTGCTAATAAATCATCATCAAGTTTAAAAAGTCTAAATCAAAAAAATGGACGATCGACACCAAATCTTTCTTCTGGAGCTCAAGGAAGTGAAACGAATAGTATTCATCATACAGAAGACAATGGTTAATTTACTATATTTCCTTCTCTAAAAAAAAAAAATATAACAAATAATTTAGTTTTGACAAACTTTTCTTTAATAATCATAAAGAGCTCAAAGAAGAAGAACTGTCTTTAATAAATGTTGGAGAATTGCTTAACGATTTTGACTGGAAAGGAAGTGGTAACGCGGCAGCTTTAGAGGAAAGGTTATTAAATGAGTTGGCTGCTCTGGAGGCTGCCAATATTCACGCGATTGTGGAATCTGATGACCGTATCCATTCCGTTATAAATCAAATCGATAAGGCTATTGCCGAACTAGATAATATGGATCAATGGCTTTCTCTATATACTGCTGAATTAAATGTAATTTTTGCACTTCACTTTATTTTATACAGAAAAGAAATTTTTTTTTTAAAAAAAATTTTCTTTTGTACCTTTGTAGAGCATGGGAGATGATATTCATCATATTGAATCACAGAATCGGGGATTACAAGTACAAACTGCAAATCAAAAGGCTTTACTTTCTGAACTTGATCGACTTATCGTATGTTAAAATTATAATTTCGATAATTTTTTTACGTAATGATTTATTTATTGATATTTTGTGACCTATCATTTATATAGAAATCTATCACTTTGCCTGAAGAAGTCATTCAGATATTATTTAAGGAATCGATGGATACCATACAAGGTATCCAGAATATTGAGCATGCTGCAGAAGAGATAAAACGTGTATTGGAAACTCCGTTAGATGAAAGTATGAATTAATGTAAATGTTGTTATTTTTTTTATTGATACTATTGAAACTCACTTTTTTCCCATTTTAGATACCAGACAGATGATGGCCATAAAGGAAAAACTGGAAGCTTATCATATCAATTGTAGTAATTTCTGTTCACGATTTTACGAGTATATGAGAATGATGTTCCAATTCCAGGTAAGATATATGTGGCTAGACTTACTCCTTAATCACTTCATCATAAGATACCATTTCGTTATGATTGATGATTTTGGCGGATTAAAATCACCATTTGTCTCAGGCAGAAACTTTAATGAATGATAAAAGCAGAGGACCTCGTCATAACTCTCTTACCATACAAGATCATGAAAGTATAACAGAAAACTTATCAAAGTATCGTGGACTTTCACTTTGGATGAAAAAAATGGATCCTAAACGACACCTGGAAATTCAATCGGTATGTCATGGACAAGTTAGGTTAAATATACGAAAAAAGTTCTTATTGATAGTGTATCTTTTAGATCTACGTGATTTCTAAGGAATCAATATATAAGAAGGAGGCAAAAGCATATCTTTCACAAATGAGAAACTTGATGTCGAAACGAGAATTGTCAGAGGAAGCATCTTATGGTGAGACGTGAATCTTATAAAAATATTTATCTAAGTGACATTTATTTATATGTTGTGTGTCATAAGTCTTTAGTGCTGCATTGAACCAAAGTCATCGTTCTAGTTTAAGTTATGGTAATAATTGGCTTACATCGGAAAGCTTAAAACAACCCTGGGAATTCAAAGATGGAGGTGGCGGTAAACTCCCTCCGGAAGAGGTAAATATAATTCAAGTACTCGTCTCTTAGTATTAAAATTAATATACCGAATAATTTTGTTAGGCTTTTGATCATTGTCTTCAAACCATTGTACCACTTATGGTTAATGAACAAAATTTCATTTTGGATTTTTTCCATCTTGAAAAAAAAAAAGGCGAAAACAAAAAAGAGGATCGAAGTATCGAAGATAATAAAACGAAAAAGAAATTAACGTTAGTAACCATATATGTTGATTAAAATATATTAAAGTAAATTATACTTATATTATGGAACTTTATTTTAGTGAACATATGGAAAAATTCTTCAGTTTTCTACCTGAAGAATTGTCATCGTTTGTCGATTATGGATGTAAACATGACAATATGTAAGTATAAATTTATTAATATGTAAAATGATGATTGAAAAAAAATTTATTATTTTTTCTTATAATTTATTAATTGTTTTTGAATAAAGTCAAGTTATTGGTATGATAGTTTCTTTAGAAAAGTATATGCATGCCAATGAAAAAACGGCACAAGATTATGTTGTAAGGATGTTACAACAAGTAAGATTACATTGTCTTAGTAGATTTGAAGTTTTCATTGTAAGTTATTTTACCTTTTTTTTTTTTTTTTTTGAAATCAAATAACTTTATGTTAAGGGTTATTTATGGATAATAGAATGAACAACTTAAAGCAATTGAAGAGACTAAAGTCACATCAAAAAAACGAAAAGGAATTGCTATTTTTATGCGCATATTTCCAGTAAGTTGATATAATTAAAAGACGGTTATCACACAAATATTTCCTATATATTTAAATTTTTACTTCTTTTATTTATAGCGTTTCGTTGAACGTATCGAGCATTCAATGATTGAAGATGAAAAGCTTGAAATTCGCCGTATTGTAAATAGAGCTTATGAGCGTATTGTTAAAACAATGTTTGAATGTGTGGAAGCCATTGCAAAAGATGCTGATTCTCCTGTTGATGATAAAGAACAATTGAATGCTCATATAATGACTCTAGGTAATTAATATACTATTAAGTCGATTATCTTTATTAAGATAATGTCTGACTCGTTTTTATTTTATAAACAGAGAATATGCATTATTTTTATTCGGAGATCCGTTCACGTCGAATTATTATTCTCGAACCATTTATGAGATATGCAAAGAGTTCTTATGATAAACATATGGATGCATACGCTAGAGCAATGGTTCGAAGACCATTTGGCAAAATGCTGGTGAGCATTCACTATGTGTCGAAGTGAATATTTAAAATTACAAGTATTTCTTTTTAAGGTTTTGTATTTGTCATGTAGGAATTTTTCGAAGGTATAGAAAGTTTATTGAGAACAAACGCAGCTCCAGAGGAAGTTGGATTCAGAATTCAATTTAATAAATCGGCATTAAAGAAAATTATATCACAATATCCCGGAAAAGAGGTAAGAATATAAATACATATTTTAATATTTAATATAAATATTTAATGAATAAGTTTAACATTGCTTATAGATTAAGAAAGGCCTAGAGTCATTATATAAACGAGTTGAAAAGCATTTCAAGGAGGAAGAAGGGGGTCGCCTTTTACAAGTTGTATGGCATGCAATAGAGGAAGAAGTAATTCGTAGTCATGAACGATTTACATTAACGATTAACAGATGTTATCCTGACGCTAATATTACTTTAGAGTTTTCCATGGACGATTTGTTGGGTTATTTTTCAGAAATAGCTAGAAGTCATTAGATATTATTTGATAAGAAATGATTTTGGTATTAACTTATTTGATTTATTTATTACCTAATAAGGAGGTTTAATATTAAAAACAAAATTATCTTATTACTAGAGTAGAGGGTTTTTTGAATATAATTTTTATATTAATTCCAAATAAAAGTTTCGTTCTCCAAATAAAATAACTCTCCCAAACTTAGCAAAGATTCACGTGAGAATCATTATGATAATACTATGTTCGGGCCACAAATTAAGAATATCAATGGTGGCATTGGATCAGGTGATGAGATTTTTCAATATGAATTAACAAAATGTTCCAAAAATATTTCAGAAAAATAGTATATGATGGCTTGATCCCCCCTGCAGATTTTAATAATTTGACATGATTATGGCATCTTTAATATATTTATCAATGATCACGTGCGTTATCAAAAAAAATGAGGAGACATCTATTTTTTTATTTTTATCATGCATATAGATACAGCATTAATTAATTGCTTGCTTTTTCTTCATTCTTTTTTATCTATGTGGATCTAAGAATATTCGAATTGGTCATTTAACTAATTGTGGTCAGTTCTTTATGACATCACTGTGTATTCTCACCCAAACACTTTGCATTTATTTATATTATTTCTACAAAGTATATTTAGATTATTTACCACTTGACTCGTGCTTTGAGTTATTCTGGTATTCGAATTATCTCTGCCTTACACTTTTTCAGTGGGTCCTTTTTTGCTTGATTTGCTTCTGTGGTAATTTTGCTACGAGCTTAAAGCATCTATTTTTATTTTTTATTTTTTGATTCTTTTACATGTATAATTAGATAGTTAAGAACAGAAGTTAAAACTGATTATAAAGATAAAATCCAAATCTTTCGTGATAAATTTGTTAATTTTCTTCTGTTGAAAACATTTCGATTATTATTATTATTATTTAACAAATTAATGTTAGTACTTTTTATCAATAGAAGAAATTAAAATTTTAGTATTACACGATTTAAAATTGGATCACTTAAATATATTATTAATAATACAAAATTATTTATTTATCCTCACTGAATTATTGAAATCTGACAACCTTTTTTATATTAAGAAACATTGATTGGCAAGAAAGCAATTAATAAAAATGGATTATAATTCATTATCACCAGAACTACAATTAGCAGCATTAGAAAAGGAATTTATTGATGGAGTATTAACAAAAAAAGGATTCGAACAGAAAAAAAGATCTTTGTTTGAAAAAAATCACCTATTAGGAACTTTTCCTGGAGCTGAAGATGGGGGTATTTCTCCAACTAACAGTATCAGCAGCACAACTAGTGGAAATTGTTATAATAAAGACAACCAGCAATATGCCGGATATCCCGATTATCCTCCTTTACTTCCTCCTCATGTTCCCTTACAACAAAATGATGCACCACACCATCGACCCGTTCCCAGAAAAAGTTCTGATTTGGAAAGATCAAGAATTCATGTCCGTACACAAAATGTTGATCCATTTGCTAATATTAATCCTAGATCCGATTCTTTAACAGCAACAAATCGTCGTTCTGATTCAGCTCAAATTCATTCCACTCCTTTATCCACTTCACCTAATAATACTCTTTCAAATCCAAATAGTAATCTATTTCATTATAGACCCCCATATAATCCTTCCTTACATCATAATGTTGCGTATGCACCACATCAATTTATATCTAGGCAAACTCCAGGGCGTCCTCCTTTGCCTCCACCACTTGGGTATCCACAGTATTTTCCTCCTACAATTCCAGTCACGTACCCCATTAGACCCGCACCTCATGTTAGACCTATTGCTCCTATAATACCACAAATTCGTCCAGTTCCACCTGGTCCAATTACAAGAAAACTAGTAGTGAATGATGGTGCGCAAGGAATTTTGGATATAGATCATCCCAGTGAGTATAATTTATTTTTTTAAAAAAAATTATGTTAGGCGGGATTGATTGAGAAGATGCGAAAAAACATTGGTATCATCAATAATAATTAATTATACTAACATTACTTTATATTCATCAAGAAAATTTAGCCGATGACAATGCTTCGATCATTTCAGGAAAGTCTATTATTTCAAACCCTAATGGGCAAAGATTTAGTGGAATGAGTAATTCTGATGATAGACCTGGAAGAAGTAAATAAATTCTTATTAATTTTTTTATTTTTTATTTTTATTTTTTCGCGGAAATAATATATTTCCCCTCCCTTTTTTATTTCTAGACATTGGAAAGCGAATGTCTTTATATAATAATTTGGCACATTTAGATATTTTAGATCCAACACCAAATTTTGATCCTGAATTATCAAAATTAGGAGGATTACAATTTATGCCGTTTGAGCCAAGAGAATTGCCTTTTGAAAATATAGACCCGTTGAATCCTTCTATAAGCATATCAAATTACGCGGATATAGCGACACTTTTAAGATATAGAGGCCAGATGACCCCAAAACAAACGGCCTTTATAGTATTGGATCAAAAAGGCCGCGAAACGTATGTATGGACTTGGGAAAAATTACATTTGAGAGCGGAAAAAATATCACAAGTAATTTTAAAAGAAAGTGGATTAATGAGAGGTGATAGAGTGGCATTGATTTATAGGAAGACGGAAATTTTGGAATTTTTGGTTGCATTATATGGATGTTTCTTTGCGGGTGTTGTTGCTGTGCCAATTAATGCTGTTGAAGAATTTAAGGAACTCTTAGTTATATTGGAAACTACAAAATCTAAGCTTGTATTAACTACTGAACATAATCATAAAGTATTAACGCGAGATTTGTTGGCACAAAAAAAAGAATTGCCGGACGTAACTTGGTGGAAAACAAATGAATATGGAGCGTTGAATTTAAAAAAGGGAGATGAAATTGGAATAATTAATCTCACTGAATTGGCCTATATTGAATATACAAGGAGTCCAAATGGAGAATTGAAAGGAGTGGCGATAAGCCATCAAACAATCATGTCACAATGTAACGTTATGAGAGCAAGTGTAACAGATGCAAAAATGAGAGAACATTTAAATAATCAAATTAATCATGAAAAATCACAACAACAATCTGCCAATGATGGAATAGAAGGAGGAAACCCTGGAGAAATGAATGATAATTTTGTTGATACTGTATTGAGTTATTTAGAGCCAAGACAGCAAGTTGGTTTAATATTGGGTGCCTTATGGGGAGTTTATTGTGGTAATATTACTATATACTTGGGTAGTCTTGGACCTGATGTACCTGGTTTATGGGTAAATTGTGTTTCGAAATATAAAGTTACTATCGCACTAGCGGATTATCCAGGCTTGAATCCAATTGTTTCATCGTTTAAATCAGATCCCTCGGCAACTTTAAACTATACAAAAAAACAATCACCTGTCCTTTCATCATTACGCTTTTTATTTATCGATGCGCTTACAATAGATATTAATTTGAATCAAGAAATTATTGAACAACTTCTTTATCCACTGGGTACACAATTTCCGAAAGATGTTTTGACTCCATTAAGTAGTTTACCAGAACATGGAGGTATGATTTTAAGCTTCGGCGACTTGCTTGGTGTGCAAGGACTAGATAACAGGGTTGAGGGTGAACGAGGTGTGAAACAATTCTTATTGGACCGTGAGGAATTAAAAGAAAATCGTATTGCTATTGTGGGAACTGGAGAAGATCAAAACACGAAGAGCCTTGATGGACGAGGTGTTATGAAAGTTGGAGCTTTTGGATTTGTCATGCCTGAAGGTAATTATAGATTATGAATGATTTGCACCAAGAAATTCATCAGTTTTTTTTAATTCTTGCTAAAATCTTAATTTCAAATTTATATATATATATAATATATACATATAGCTATAATAGCAGTTGTTGATCCAGAGACAACAGCGTTGTGTTTGCCTAATACAGTTGGAGAAATATGGGTCGATTCACCATCATTGTCAGGAGGATTTTGGGATTTGCCAAAACATACCGAGTCAATATTCCACGCTCGTCCGATAATAGTACCTGGTGATACAAAGAAACCAGAGTACTTTGAACAAGAATTTTTGAGGACAGGACTTTTAGGATCATTAATTAATGGACAATTGGTTATATTTGGATTATATGAACATCGAATAAGGTTATTAGATGAACCTATTATTAAGGAACAACAACAGAAATTGGTTATAATAAACTGGGGTGAGAATGATGGAGCTATTTATAATGAGGAGGCAAATGATAACAAGGATGAGGATGAAGAAAAATTAAAATATAAGTTTCATTATACTTTGGATTTGGAGAATACCGTTAGGAGAATGGTTGAAGGTGTTATTGATTGGTAAGTTCTCAGAATTTTTAGATTGTTTTCCCAATATATATATTTTTTTTTTTTTTTTTTTTTTTTTTTTTTAAAAAAAAAACAAGGTTGAATAATTCCTAAAATTATCTTCATAGTGTTGTAATTGAAATTTATATAAAGGACCAAAATTTGCCAGTGTTGATAGCAGAATCCTCGTTACCAATAGAAAATTTGACCGCTCTTGCTGATGAGATATACGACAAATTAGTTGCGAATCATGATCTCCGTCTTTATACAATATCAATATGTGCACAAAAATCGTTGCCACGTACATGGAAGAATGGTAAAAAATTAATAAATAGTATAGCATGTAAAAAGTATTTCGAATACGGACTATTACAAGTGTTGCATGTTAAGACTTGTGCATCAGAAACGATATTTGATATACCGATGGGAGAAAATACTGGAATATGGGGACCTAGTAAGTTAGGGTTGATTTTGAGAGGTGAACAATGAAAAAAAAATCTATTTTTTAAAATAAATTTTTAAGGAAATTATTTTGTAGATGATCGTTATTAATTATTATTTATTTTATATAGACGCTATGGCCTCACGACAGGAAATGAGTAACGGATCAGTGGCAATAAGAAGACCTCAATATACCGGGATAGAGATTCCACAAGAAGTATTGGACGAAAAGACCAGTTTCAATTTATTAAAATTCCGAAGTATAGTTGATGTGTTATTATGGCGAACACAAATATCACCCGATGAAACCGCGTATAATATATTAGATACGAAAGGAAAAGAAGGAAAGCCAATATCATGGAAAAAATTAAATAATCGTATAGCGACTTTAGTAAGTTTTTTGCAGAAAAAGGGATGTAAAGCTGGGGATCATACTGTATTAATATTTCCACATGGGATAGATTTTGTATGCAGTATATTTGCATGTATGTTATTGGGTATAAAAGCAATTCCCATATCACAAACAGAACCTACGAGAGCTTCGGAGGATATACCTGCGTTATTTGAATTAATAGAAGAGTTTAAAATTAGTTATTTATTAGTAAATACAGATACCGAACAAACACTTAAAAGCAAACAAATATCAAATTTCATAAAGACGATGAGTGGAGTGTCAAAACAGTCAGGAGGTAGCAATAACAAAGTATTACCTCAGCTAATTAATATAGCAAGAGCACCTAAATACACAAAGACATTGAAAGAATCAAATTTCGTTATGATGGAAGAATGGTTAAAACCACAATGGACAGCAATCATCATGTGCTACTTTTCACCCGATCAACGAAAAAGTTGTGTAAGATTGGATCATGATACATTGTTAGCTTTATGTAAAGTGCAAAAAGAGACTTGTAGGTTGAGAAGCACACGGGCGGTATTAAGTTGTGTTAGACATTTTAGCGGTATTGGATTTGTGCACACTATATTAATTGGAATCTATCTTGGTAAGGGTATCAAAAGAAGAGATAAAGGATGAAATTGTTATTTTAATTAATTAATTAATTTACTCTTTAAACGCATAGGATCACCGACAATTCTCATCACACCACTTGATTATCATACGAACCCTTTAGTATGGTTTGAAACCATATCAAAATTTAAAAGTAAGGATATTAAATATATTTAACCATTTATTCGTATCTAAATTTTAAATGTATTTATTTATTATTTATTGATCGCACGTAGTCAAAGACACTTATGCTACATTTCCAATGTTACAACACGCAATGTCACGTTTTGAAAACGAGGATTATCGAAACTTTTCTTTGCATCATTTAAAGAATTTAATGATCCCGGTTGATGGTAGACCAAATGTATCCCTATGTAAGTAATAGGTAAAGAGTAATCAGATGATTCTTAATAATACTTTCTCCTAATTTGGCTTATTTTGTTTATATATAGATAAGCAAGTAGTGAAAACATTTTTGGCCAATCGATTAGATGATGTGGCAGTAAATTATGTATACAGTCATATAGCAAATCCCATGGTAACCACAAGATCTTATATGTGCGTAGAACCCATTGAATTATATTTGGATTTGAAAAGTTTGAGAAGAGGAATTATTAAAATTGTTGACCCAGAAGATGAACCTTTTGGAGTGTTATTGCATGACTCTGGAACGGTAAGTTGTTGATCTTTAGAAAAAAAGGAGAAAAAAAGGGCGCTAGCAAAAGCATACGTACTTGACATGTTATTTAACTTTTTTTTAGGTTCCAGTGTCAACGCAAGTAGCCATAATACATCCGGAAACAAGACGTCCGTGTTTGTCAAATGAATTTGGAGAGATATGGGTTAATAGCGATGCCAATGCGAAATCTTTACACGGGTCAATGTATCAATTAGATCAGGCTCGATATTCTGCTACAATAGATGGAGGGGATCCAAGAGTAAAATACTTACGTACAGGAGATTTAGGATTTTTATATACAATTCATAAACCAGCAGTAGAAGGAACATTGTTAGAGTACCAATGTTTATTCTTTTTAGGACCAATCGCAGAAACATTTGAAGTTAATGGATTGATACATTTCCCGGTGGATATCGAATTTACAGTTGAAAGATGTCATCAACTGAGTCAAGTTAGTTTAATTTCACCAGATGGATGTGTGGTTTTTCAGTCTAATAAAGAAGTTGTATGTGTGGTAGAAGTGAGGGCAAAGGAAGGAATTCTCAATTTGATTCCATGCGTAATGAATTCAATATTGGATGAACACCAATTTATTATTGATGTAATCGTATTTATTGGACCTGGGACATTACCAAAATCGAGATTAGGTGAAAAACAAAGAGCAAAGGTCATTAATTCTTGGTTAAGTGGTAATTTAACTACATTACATGTACATTATGTGAAATCAAAGCCAAGTTCTAAAACAAATTCACAATTACTATCACCAAATGTGATGCTTTCACAACGATTGATAACCACAAATCCTTCACCCTCACCAACACTTGATCCAACTCAATATAGTATTACATCTGGATTTATCAATACAACAAGAAGTAATATAATACCTTCTAACATGATGAATGAATTGGTGTTGAACAATGAAAATCAAAAATCATCACAACATGAAGATAATATTTCAAATCATACTAATGGATTTGATAATAGTAATTTAGATTCATCAAATAAAAATGATTAAAAAATAATTTAAGAATATTATTATTATTATGTTATATTATTTATATTATTTATTAAATAATTATATAAAGAAGAAAAAAAAAACCATATTTATATGACTTAATCTAATTAATTAATTATTTTTACATTATTCCAATTTATCTAAGTGATCTAATCTAGTTAACACAATATTTTTACTAGTTTCCTCAATTTCACCTGCTAAAAACACTTCATCCAATATTGCATATACCTAAAATAAAACAAAAATAAAAGAATCGCTTTTAAAATCTTTTAATGAAAGTTTCAACTATTTTTTTATAGATTGTATTGTTTACCTTATAAAAATTAAATACTAAATCCAATTCACACACATTTCCAAAAAATGCGTCCAACACTTCTACAAAAAAATGTATTGCTTCTAAATATGCCAATTCGTTATCATTTGCATCAACACATACACAAAAAAACAATCCTGCATATCTTCTATAGACCACTTTATAATTTCGAAACTAAAAGAGAAAAGAAAGTGTGAATTACAATACATACGTAAAACAAAAAAAAAAACTAATTATTTACCTCGGCAAAATTTGATTGATGCTTTTGATCTCTAGGTGCAACCAACCTATGTACTTCACCTTTTAACTTGACTTTTTCATCATCCTCATAAGGAACATACCATTTTGACAAACGTGTTTTTCCTTGTCGGTTTTGTACCAAGATGAATCGAATCTATGATATCAAATATTGAATTAAATAAACGTGAAAGTAATAATATCACGATTTGAACTTACCATGACAAACAAATCAAATAAAGATAATTTTTATCCCAATTTTTAATAAGACATCAAGTTAGTTTTAGATGGGTTAAAGCGTAAAGCTTTAAGAATAATTAATGCCTTCATTTCATTTTTTTTTTTTTTTTTTTTGATAATCAAATGATCGACGGATTTTGCGATCTAACTGCAGAATGTTTGAATTTGCCAAAACATTTTCTTCGTTAATTGATGAATCGAATGTCACGAAACAACAAAAGAAACTTTATTTTGTGTGTGGTAATGAAGCAGCTGGTTAGTCAACTAAGAATTTCTTTTTATATAGATATATCTCTATTTATTTATTTATTTATTCGAATTAACTTTATGTATAGATTTGGATTCAATTATAGCAGCAACAGCATACTCGTGTCTAAGTCAACAATTCATTGCTTCTAATGATTTAACCTCTTCCTCGTTATACTTTCCTATCATTCAAATTCCAAGATCTGATCTTTACTTACGACCTGAATGTTCTTACGTATTTAATGAATGTAATTTTTCCACACTCACATCACAACTACTTTTCCTAGACGACGTATCAACTTATTTAGACCAATTATCTTCAAAATATGATGTAAACTTAATTCTGGTAGATCATAATAAATTAATTTCTCCTTGGGATGGGAAATTTAATGATAAAATAGTTGCAATTTTGGATCATCATTCAGACGAAGGGTTATATTCATATCTCAATGATAAGTGTCGTCAAATTGAAAAAGTTGGTTCCACTACTTCATTGGTCGTATTACATTTTAAAAATGATTGGGAAAAACAAATTTCTCGAGATGTGGATGAGAAATCTTGGCACAATAAATTAGCTAAATTATTATTAGCTCCAATTTTAGTAGATACATTATTATTAGACGGATCTAAAGGAAGAGTAAATAATAAAGATCGAGAAGCAACTCAATTTTTATTGGATGTATTAAAAATTCCTAAATCTAACCAAGAAAATTTTAAAAATAAATATTTCGAAGAAATTCAAGCTGTTAAACTTAACGTTACTCATTTTTCAAATATCGATCTTTTGCATAAAGATTACAAGGAGAAGGATTTAGATGATTTTAAAATTGGTATAAGTAGTGTACCTTGGTTTTTAGAGGGTTGGATTAATCGTGAAAATGATGACATAAATAAACTCATCGATTCGATTAGATCTTTTTCAAACAAAAATAAGTTGGATATATTTATTATAATGTTGACTTATGATCATAAAGGATTTAAACGGGAGCTTGTGTTTCTCTCCAAGGATGATAAATTCATTAGGGACAACTTTATTCAGCAATTGGAAAATGTACTACAATTGAAACGCATATCTTTAACGACCAACGTGGATCATATTAAATTTTATAAACAGGAGAAAACTTCAATTTCAAGGAAGGAATTATTTCCATTATTAATTGAATTAATTCTCACAACAAATATATAATAGAAAGTATTTTTATCATGTATCCTTTTAATATTAAATAAATATCATAATTCACTGCGTACGTGGATTAGAAATGAATTATTATTCATTTTTACCAGCTGTTAAAATCTCAACCCCTTTTTTTGTTACCAATAAGGTGTGCTCAAACTGTGCACTACGTTTTCCATCGTCAGTTACTGCAGTCCAATTATCCGTCCAATGTCGGTCGCGCCACGTACCTATAAAGTAAATAAATAAATAAATATTGACGTCAAATTGACTGTGAATTACTAAATTGTTCCTTTCTTACGCACCAAGGTTTATCATTGGCTCGATTGTAAAACACTGTCCAGGTTTCATCGTTCCAATAGCCTTATTTTCTATAGATCAAATGATTTTTTATGTTCATTGATTATCTCGTGACTTTAAAAAAAGTTTGTAATTTAGATAACAAAGTAACTTACTTTCATAATGAGGGACGTTAGGTGCACAGTGAAATAATCTATATGATAACGCGTTAGAATTTTTTTTTATTCATTACAATAAAATAAAAGATAATAATCATCATAATACCTGTGAATGCCGTGTCCACAATAAGTACGGACAACAGAACAACTATTCGCCTTGGCATGTTTTTCAATAACCGTTCCAAGGTTACGGTATAAGAAACCTGGTTTCACACATTCAACGGCTTTATCTAAACATTCCTTTGCAGTTCTGATCAACTTTTTACTTTCATCATCGATATTTCCAACAGGATAAGTTTCATTTAAATCTCCGTGGAATCCATTGTGATATAAGGTTACATCCAGATTAATAATGTCTCCTTCCAACAATTCTCGTTGATCCGGAATCCCATGGCAAATGACTATGTTAATTATTTGAAAGTTGAAGTCAGTCATGCTACCTTGTAACGTTACAAAAATCATTATAATAAATTCTACGTACCTTCATTCACTGAACTAAAGTAAATATCGCATGTTAAAATTTTTAAATATATAAACGATAACAAAAAAAAAAATTTTTTTTTAAAATCACGACTTAGAATTTATTATTCGTGTATTTACGTGCAAACGGATTTTGGAAATTCATAATAATTCAAAGGTGACGGATAAGAATCGCGTTCAATAATAGCATCATGAATAACTCGATCTATCTCATCAGTTGTCACGCCAGGTTTTATTGTAGCAGCACCGATATCTAAAACTTCACGTGCAAGCTAGTAACCAAAGGAAAAGTTTTGTTAAATAAAAATTTATAACAGGTAAGAATATTAAATAAATCATGTTAACATGCTTGCTATAATTATCATAGTTATAATGGATCTAAAAATTCAAACCTTGCAAACTTTTCGCATCCCTTCAATTTCTGCTTCGTTCAACACTTTTATGGGTGCATTAACCTTTGCAACTTGTTCAGATTTCGAAACTCCTATAACATATTTATAAGAATTATTATATATAACTAACGACTATACAGTTGAAAAAGTAAAAAAAAAGAAACCTGAAGGATTGTCGGCATAGTCCGGTCTTTCTATATGTTGAGGAACCTGTCTCTTTGGAGACAAAGGGTATACTGCACGCAAAGTTCCCGTGTACGAAAATTTTGGTATGTAAGTTTTCTCATGTATATGTTTATGTGTAGACTGAATTGAGAATAAGTCGAGTTAACTTATTTGAACCTTAATGCAAACTTCTAGCAACGTTTTTTTTTTTTTCATAACATACCCAATTTGCTCTAAAACAATCTCGTGAACAAAAGAATGACCCTGGAATTTTTAGGTTTAAACACGTTGGACACTGTAAATTTGCAGATTCCGTACATCCGGCTCCTTGACAACGTTGTAATCCATTCATTTTTAAAGCAGAGAACAAATTGCAGAATTTAATTATACAAGTAGATTGTTGATTTATAGATTGATTTATTACAAATTTGAGATTAAAAAAAAAAAAAATTTATATTATATATATAAAAATCTTAATAATAAAATAATCATACTTTAATAATATATATTTAGTTATTAAATCTTAATATCATTATATTTTTTAACTAATTTATAATATTTTTATCTAATTTCTAATAGATTTTTTTAATGAAATTTTAAAATCAGTATCTTTAATAACAATTAGAAAGTTTTCACAAAAGTATTAGCAGTATATAGATATTTATATAAGATTAGTAGAGTATATTATAAAAAAAATATAAAGAATTTAATAAATTAGATAATATCCAATCTTTGTAAAGAAATAAAAATCAGCTAATTTAATAAAATATCTTTGATAATTCTTTTTTAAAATTTAATTTATTATTTCATAATAATAAGTTTAACTTTTCTTATGTTTATAAAAATATTTTTCAAATTGATAATTATGAATTTTTTCATATCATAATAATTAATAAAATTAAGCATATAAAAGGCCAAAGTTTTAACCAATAAAATTAAAGTATATAATAAAGTCATATGATGATTACCAATTAAAATTTCAAACTAGGATGTGATAGCTAGTATATAAAAGTTATATGTAGTATTATTATAAAACGTAAATATAAATATAAACTGGACTAAATCAGACTTTCTATATCTACCGTAAAATCGTGAAAATAAGCACCCCTTGAAAATAAACACCCCTGTGACTTTTGCTATCATGTCTGTA